TATTTATTAATGAGATCTTACAATTACATTATAATAAGATAATTATTTATCCCTGTAATGATACTGTTTACCTTTTTTAATTCACTTAATGTGGCACAGGTTGATTTTATTGATTCTCATTTTGATTATAAAATTTTCATTTTCAAATTATTATCATCTACTTTTTTACTTTATTTGAGTTTTTTTTTTTTGGGAATTCTCCATTAAATCATCAATTTCCCTTAACTGTACCCTCTTTATAAGTTATTTAACTTAAAATTTAATAGTTGCATCACAAGCAATTTGGAGTTTGTACATCTTTCTTTCGGTTGAATACTCAATTGCACAAATGACTCTTTGTTTAACTGGTATTTGGAGCGAAAGAAACGACAAGATTTGGAGAAATCAAAGTCATGATCCAACCATCTCTTGGAAGCTCGTACAATATGAGCTTGCCCAACATAAATGGAATCCCCCTCCCCCCAGTCGTGATTCCAACGATTACAGAAACTAACAATTTGTTCTTGGCACTCAAACAGGTGATAGCACACATGCAAATATCATCTTTGATGATCCATTTCATCCTCAAACCAGGAGGGCGGCAGGAGCATGAAAAATAATCTCACCATTGTAAACAGTTATTCCAATCAAATCAGTGAACTTACAGGTTGTCACCGTTCCAAACAGAGACAATGTTGTGCTTATTAGCACTACTGGAAGCATCAAGTCTTGGTATTAAGTGCATTGAGATTCATACGGACTACGAAACATTAAAACAAAACTTATGGGTTATCCATATACATATTGAAGCGCAGGAGGTTATTTCATTGTTACTTGTTCTAATTTTAATCTTTGACTCGTGCTAATTGATTAAAGTTAGTACAATTAAGGTTAATAAATTACATAATCTAGCATATATATTATATTAAATCAAAATAAATTTTTGAAAAAAGTACATGTGTCACACTATTGTACACCCATTTCCCGCCTAAACTAAGTTAAGTAATAGAGTAATGATAGAGAGCTCACCTAAACAACTCACATTCCCATCCCACCTTTTGGCTTCCTTACTTGGATTTACATGTCATAATTTTTATTATTGGAGATGATTTAAAAAAAAAAATTCTACCTATGGTAAATCAAAACTGTCTTTGCCCTTTCTCTTCTATTGTCGTCTCCTTCCCCCTTCCCTTTAAGAACTCATTTGTGGTCAAAATTCTCCCAGTCTAAAGTTTAATAATCTGTTAAGTTACGATATCTCGGATTCGGGTAAATAAGTGCATGTAAATTTATATATACTTTGTTGGTGTTCTTCTTTTATTGCCAATATTTTCCAATCCCGGTTGCATAATTGTGTTTGCTTCAATAGAATTCAAAATTGTCACTCCATCAATTAAATGATACTAACTTCTTAAACAAAACTTCATCAAAGCATTTGATTGTTACTTTCTTTCTCTGAAATCCTTGCTTTGTATGCACAATAATGAATCACCGAAAGAGAGGAAGAAAAGAGTTTCTTACAATCCATGTTTTGATATGGATTGTACCCGTGAGTCGTCGTGGTGTTGGTTTCATGAGCAGACTTTCCCTATGGGTTGAGGCCTTGGATAAATCCGTTTTGGACATCTCTGTCATCGAGGTAATCTACTTGGAGAGATTCTCGAGTAAAACAGCGATGGAAATCCAAAAGACTCTCATTCTGTCCTTGCTTGATCGACGCCAGGTCAATTGACATTTTTGTAATTTGCTTGCTGGGGAAGAAGCGTGTGGCTAGTTTCACTGACAAGTCCTCGAAACTGTCAATGCTTCCTTCCGGTAACTGTCCAAACCAACGTTGTGCTTGTCCATCGAGGAAGGATGGTAGAGCTTTTGGCCATAAAGTCAAGAAACGCGTTCCGAATTCTCATGACCTGCACATACTTGTGCAAAAATCGCTGTGGATCAGTGTCTCCAGTGCAGTTGACGAAGTCTTTTGGAAAGTCAAAGTCTCGAATCCGTGGGACAAAAGGACTCTTATCCACGATCATTCCTATCATTCTTCTCATCGAGTCACGGATGGACGAGTCTTTGTAGCTTGGTTCTCTCATTGTCGAGCAAATTGGGGCTCTTCAGGATATGAAACGTCGTACCTCTGATGACCATAAGGTAGGTATCTTGAGTTGTGGTGAGTATCACGATGATCGTGATAAGACCTCTCCGGAGGAGCTTTAGGCCCCAGCCGAGAGTGAATGTTACCTCTTGGAGGGGAGTCCCAATTCCTTCTCGACAACTCCTCGACACTGGGTGATCGTGGGCTTGACTGACGGTGAGACTGTTTTTTCTGTTTATCTTCTTTTGCAAATTGCTCAATTGCCACATAAACCACCGGATTTGTTCACTCGAGAGCGACCCATAAGGTATCACCAGGGATTTCAGAGAGCTCGACACGAGAAGTTTCGCGATTGCGGTCTTCCTTGTGAAACTCTTCTCCCCCTTCACATGGGACTTTCCGTTTTCCTCGTCTCACCTCGAGGAGGGCTAACGTCCTCATTGCCTCCTTCTCCTCGATGAGATCTTCCAGCTCTTGATCCGCGGGATCGGGGAGGCCAAGCAAACAACAACGTTGGTATTCCTCTTGTATATATTTCTTTTTCCTCTGGTTAAAGGAATTGATGTCTTTCAAATTCTTCAATTCCGTTTCGGTCTCGGCCAGTCGCTGTTTTTGGTATGGATCTGGAACTTTGCAATGTGTTTCCGGATCTCCCTCCCCCTCACCTCTATGACTAGTTGGCTTTGTGGGAGTTTTCTTTCTTTTTGACTGCCGGTCGTTTCTCTTCCGCTTCTGCCTCTCCTGGAATCCCGCTAGGGTTTCATCATCGTTGCAACTTTCACGCCTACTGGTTGATGCAGTACTGGATTGAGGATTGTCGATTATAGCCATCCTGTCTTGGAAAAACCCTAGCTTGGAGTGGTGGCAGCGGATTGAAAAAGTTCTGAAAACTTGGGAAAGCTTTGTGACACAAACCCTAATTCTCGGGTCCCACTGGGCGTGCCACTTGACGATGCCTGGAATTGCGCCTCCGGCTTGGTGGTGGAACTCTGATTAGGGTTTCCTGTAAAACAGAGCCTCGGAGCCTCTCGAGAATAGACACTCCGAAACTTACGTCAGAAAATAGGGTTACAAAATAATGTGTATATGTGAATTCGTGCTAGAGATAACGTACCTCAACTGTGGTGCCTGCATCCCTATTTATAGGCATAGGAATACCCTAAGAGAACCTGAATCCTACTAGGGTTTAATCATGTTGCCGCCCTATTGGAGTCGGTTGGGCCCCTTCCTAGGTTAATGGACCGGTCCAATATCGGTAGTGGATATGGACTCGCCAGCCAACTTCAGCCCGATAAAAATAAGTTGATAAAATTGATAAAATAATAAGTTGGTGATGTTTTAGAATATTACTTATATATCTATTGGTCTCGACAATAGTATAGATTACTTTTCTTAAATAAAATAATAATTAATAATATTTATAAATATTTTTTTGACCAATATTTATAAATATTTAGTAAAAGATGAACTACTAATACTTATTCTTTTAGTCCCTGAAAATGATATGAATCATGTATTAATTTTAGTATAAGAGACTAACACTAGTTTGATTTGGATCTATGTTTGGCCAACCTCTGAAAACCAAAAAATATTTAACTCAACTCTTAAACATTTTCACAAAAAAAAAACTCCTACGCACAAATCTCAATACAAAATAAATAATTGTCTCTATAACGTTTCAATTTATATTTTAAAATGTAACTTAAAAATTATTTTACACAATTTTCATCCATCACCATAGAACCACCTCTAGCACCGGCGGACCGCCCCCGCCACCGCCGCTCGAGGTCACCGATCGGATTCTGGCCAAATTCCGACGGGTTGGCCGGAATTTGGTCGGACTCTGGCTGACCGGTGGTGTTCTGGATGAGGGTTGGTGGTCCGGCGGTAAGAAAAAATAATATTATTTTATTTAAAATACTACCCAAATAAATTTAAAACTTTCTACTCAAACCACATTAAAATCTCCTCCAAATCCAAATAAAAAACAAAACAACATATTGTTCAAACGGATAATTTAGTAAGAGTTCTTTTTATTAGGGGAACTCTTTAAATTAATAATTTATTGATTATTAAATAATTTTTTAAATTAATAAAGTTTTGTGGTCCAAAGTCCAAACACTATTAAGTATTAATGTAGAGAAGTCATTGTACATGTTGAATGCTAAAACATAAATGTTTAATTCATTTAAAAAATAAATATAAAGGTGTCCTTTGTTTTCTTAGATGTTGTCCCACAGTTTAATATACCACTTAAACTGTGATCACTTTTTTTATATACAAAAAATCTCTTAATTACATAATTTCAAGCATTAAGAGGTAGAAGTATTATCTAACAAATCCATAATCTCAAAGTATTTCAATAAATAAGTTATTATAAAACGTGATCAAAGAGAGCCTAAGTTGTATTTTGATTTCACAAAACACGTTATTTTCTTTTTTTTGAAAGGCACAAAACACGTTATTAACTTTTCAATATGTAATAAGAAAAATAAAATTTTTTTCAGGTATATTACTTATCAAGTGTTTGAATTTTTTATCCAACTCAATGTACATTCTTTTTGTTATACTGTACAAACAAAAAATGCTTTCATTTTATTCGAAATAGATCTTGACATTTTGAGTTAAAGAATGGTTGTATTAACTTAGTAGTCACCTCTTGCCTTTTCAATATCAATACGTTGCTACTAATTTCAGTTAAATACAAATTATGTGGAAAAACTAGTGTATATTGATAATTGATCATTCCATCTATTCTAGTACAAGAGAAGCATTCCATTTAAGAAAAAATGAGAATGTTGTCCAATTAAAACATGTGCATTGTCGAGACTCGAGAATGGCATACGTTTGTACCCCGTACAAGTGAAAATCTATCATGGTATCAGTTAAAAATCCCAAGTAGTCAGTGAAAACTGAAAGACCCACGAAAGCAAAATACTGTCGGTGGACTGAAAGCAGTCTCAATCACTCATCTCTGCTCTCAATTACAACTCTCATTAGCTCACTAACAGCTCCCACATCATCCCTTTCGTCTCTTCTAAGTCTCTATTATTATTTTTCTCTATCCAAAATATTTTATTCAAATTCTTGAATTTAATTTACCATTTTTCTCTGGCCCTCTTTATATGTCGGACGAATACAGCTGCCACAGACCGCAACTCTCTGGAGCTCATTAACCGAGAGAGAGACAGAGATAGTTGCTTCTGACCCATTTAATTATCCCTTTTTTGGTTACATAGCCGACATTGCCATTTTGTTTCTCATTTCTCGTAGTTGAATTGGGTTTATTGCTTTCTGGGTTTGGATGATTTGAACTTGCTGATCGGTGGGTTCATCGTTGAATTAGAAGATTCATACTCTGGATTGTTGGAATTTTGGAGTGATAAAGCTTAGATCTTGAGGTAAACAAAAGCTTCCCTTTTTCTGTCTTTAAGTTCAATTGATCGGGTCTATCCAAATTTTGGATCTTTTTTGGGGTTTTATGACTATTCCTGCTTGATTTGCTTGTTTAACGTAATGGGTTGCTTTCAATTTGACTGCCGGTTTACTCATTTTGAATCAAGGACAATAGCTGATCACTGTGCTTTCTTTTTGTATGATCTTTGGGACTCAAAATTGAGACAGACTTTGTGTAGAGGGGTTTAGTCTGATAAAATCTAGGCTGATTTTAGTGTCGGTAGAAATGGCATTTTTAGTTCTTAAAATGGTGTATGATTTAGATCTGATCTATTATCACATGTGGGGTTTATATTCCAAAGGCGTTTTCTTTTGCAGACTGTTACGCCGGTGCAGAAATCGAAGGCTCTTGGTATGTCTGTTCTCTTCACATTTGCATGAGGGACTGGACATATTAGTGCAAATCCAGTGGTTCACGTTGAAGCAGATATAGAATGGAATCAGAAGGGGAAAGTAAGGTCAGTATTTCTTGATAAGTGAATTTACTAAATAATGTGGTATTGACTTATTTAATGATACTTTGTTATCTTAGAGTTACCCAATTAGTCATGTGTAATGCTGTCTAAATTAATATTTTTTATGCTGATTACAATTTGGATATCTTATTGATAGACCTATAATGTGGTATCTCTTTCTGTGATCTGCTATATGCAACTCATTAGTCAATTTAGAAGATAATTTTTCGTTTACTTCTCTGAATTTGAAGAGTTGGGAATTTGATGAATATTGCAGGGGAAGGTCCTGAAAAACTTGGGTGGTCAGGTCTGCCAGATCTGTGGTGATACTGTTGGCAAAACTGTAGATGGAGACCCATTTGTTGCATGTGATGTCTGTGCTTTCCCGGTATGCAGGGCATGCTACGAATATGAGAGGAAGGATGGAAATCAGTCCTGCCCTCAGTGCAAAACCAGATACAAGAGACATAAAGGTAAGGCTTCATAAAATAATTCATCTACAGTTGTTGGAAGCTCAATTTTGTAGATCAAATGGCGGCTTCTTATAGTTTTGACCAATTCTGGGAACTCCTTTTGTGTACGAACGAGAAGTTTCTGGAAATTATCGTAACAGGGAATATACTACGGAGGATTCAATGTTTAGAAAATCCTTAGGATGACATAGTAAAATGAACGTCACTGACAATGACTGAATGATATGCATTGTACATTTTCGTGACAATTGCATGTAAGGCCTCTATTTAAAGGTATCTGGATGTGCTGATTTTCCTCGAGGCATTTGGCAAGTGCTGTGAAATTATGCATTTTCTTGATTGGATTTTTAGGATTGGTATAAAGAAATTTAAGATAGAAACTCAATTGTTTTGCTGATGTCATCTATCACTCATTTGCTATATGACAGGAAGCCCTGCAATTCTTGGTGATGCAGAGGATGAAAGTATTGCTGATGATAATGCAAGCGATGTTCAATACTCAGCAGAAATTGAGACTGGGAAGGCAAAAGTCTCTGAGCGTATGTTGAGCTGGCATATGACTTATGGACGAGGAGAAGAAGTCGGGGCACCAAAATATGACAAAGAAGTCTCACACAATCATGTTCCTTTGCTCACAAATGGAACAGATGTAAGTTTCTTCTAATCTTGCAGTTGCTATGGTTGTGAGGGATAGACTTACTGATAAATGTGAAAACTTCATCTCTAGGTATCTGGAGAGTTATCTGCGGCATCTCCTGAACGCCTTTCAATGGCATCTCCAGGGCATGCTGGTGGAGCTAAACGCATCCATCCTCTAACTTATGGATCTGATGTGAATCAATCACGTAGGTTCTACTTCGTTCTTTCTTGATCATCTTAGCTTGTATTTTGCCTGTGTCACTTGCAATAGTAGACTTAAGGTCAGGTTTTCTTGATGTGCAGCCAATATAAGGGTTGTTGATCCCGTGAGGGAATTTGGGTCTCCTGGATTAGGAAATGTTGCTTGGAAAGAGAGAGTGGATGGATGGAAAATGAAACAGGAGAAGAATGTCGTTCCAATGACTAGTAGCCATCCGCCTTCGGAAAGAGGAGTTGGAGATATTGATGCAAGCACAGATGTGTTGATGGATGATTCTCTACTGTGAGTCTTTGATGTATCTGCTGTTAGAATTGTGATGGGTGCTTTATGGTTCTTTGATATGCTCTTCTAGACCCCTTTTGTGTTGCTGTATCCGCTAAATGTATTTTTGAAATTGAACTACAGGAATGATGAAGCTCGCCAACCTCTTTCGAGAAAGGTTTCTATTCCTTCATCCAGGATTAATCCTTACAGGATGGTCATTGTCCTCCGGCTTGTTATTCTTTGCATTTTCTTGCACTACCGAATTACAAACCCGGTGCCAAATGCATACGCTCTTTGGTTGATATCTGTGATATGTGAGATTTGGTTTGCAATATCTTGGATTTTGGATCAGTTCCCTAAATGGCTTCCAGTAAATCGAGAAACATACCTTGACAGGCTTGCCTTAAGGTAGGGCCTGTAAAATGCTTCTACTTTTATTGATATCTTTTTGGGGTTTTGTAATGTGTGTACTTGGATTTCCTGTCAGAAGTTAATTCCTAACACTTAGGGGTTTCGTGTAACAGATATGACAGGGAAGGAGAGCCATCTCAATTGGCTGCTGTTGACATCTTTGTCAGTACTGTGGATCCTTTGAAGGAGCCTCCACTTGTCACTGCCAATACTGTCCTTTCCATCCTAGCAGTTGACTATCCGGTTGACAAGGTGTCATGCTATGTCTCTGATGATGGTGCAGCTATGTTGACATTTGAAGCTCTGTCAGAGACTGCAGAATTTGCAAGGATTTGGGTTCCTTTTTGCAAGAAGTACGCAATTGAACCTCGGGCTCCGGAGTGGTACTTTTCGCAGAAGATTGACTACTTGAAAGACAAAGTTCATCCTTCATTTGTGAAAGATCGTCGAGCTATGAAGGTATTATGAAGGACATATGCTCTATTTAAAATTTTTTCATACTCTTTCTGTGCCTTCTCTTGAACCGTTGCTTCTTGGCTTTATATTGTAGAGAGAGTATGAAGAATTCAAAATTCGAGTCAATGCCCTAGTTGCCAAAGCTCAGAAGGTTCCTGAAGAGGGGTGGATAATGCAAGATGGTACACCATGGCCTGGAAATAACACCAGGGACCATCCAGGCATGATTCAGGTAAACATTTTGATCTTTTGTAACACCAAAGTAGAATTTTTCCCCTTCATTCTTTATCACAACCGTCTTGTTGAGTTTCCTACATTTTCACTTTGTTCTCGAGTCTTGTGGTCCTTTTGCCCTTATAGTAAAACTTGTCTCAACCTCTTTAAGTTGGCATCATAGAAAGTTCCTTCCATTTTCCTTTTTGGTGAAGAATTTAGGGTATATATTATTGAGTATCGACTATTTCATAAATTCTTTGCCCTCGCTCCAGAAGAAAGAGCAAATGATTTTCAATCTTAGCACTATTGTGAATTGTTGTACAAATTTAGCTATATTTCCTAGCGTGCCCCAGATGTAGAAATTAACTTCAATTTTCACAAACAGGTTTTTTTGGGCCAAAGTGGAGGTCTTGACAGCGAAGGAAATGAGCTGCCCAGATTAGTCTATGTATCTCGTGAGAAGCGTCCAGGGTTCCAACATCACAAGAAAGCAGGAGCTATGAATGCTCTTGTAAGCACTGAACATTTGCTTTGAAGTTTGAAACCTTAGCATTTTACTTAGTCTTACCCTACTTCTTTTGTTTCTCTTAATTGTAGGTCCGTGTCTCAGCAGTTCTTACCAATGGCCCATTCTTGTTGAATCTTGATTGTGATCATTACATAAATAACAGCAAGGCTTTGCGAGAAGCAATGTGCTTCCTGATGGATCCTAACCTTGGGAAATATGTTTGCTATGTCCAATTTCCTCAGAGATTTGATGGTATTGATAGAAGCGATCGTTATGCAAATAGAAACACTGTTTTCTTTGATGTAAGCATTTCTTATCCTTGTTCTAGCCGACATTACTTCAGTAGAAGTGATATGTTTGATAAACTGCTTTTTTGTTGATTTCTTGCGGTGTTCTCTAGTTCAATTATGCTTTAGTACCTGAAGTGAAAATCTTATTTGTATGCCTGTAGATAAACTTGCGAGGTTTGGATGGCATTCAAGGACCAGTTTATGTGGGCACAGGATGTGTCTTCAACAGAACAGCTCTGTATGGTTATGAGCCTCCTCACAAACCTAAACACAAAAAACCAGGCCTATTGTCTTCATGCTTTGGTGGCTCGAAAAAGAAAGGGTCTAAATCATCTAAAAAGGGAGACAAAAAGAAGTCCAAGAATGTTGACCCAACTGTACCAATATTTAGCTTGGAGGATATAGAGGAAGGTGTTGAAGGTAATTTGTCTGGTGCATTCATGTTTTAACGGCTGCTTGTTAACTATTTCAATGGTTATTGGTTGATCATGTGAAGCTATCTATATGCAACTATACTTCTATGTTTATCTGTATGTATGTGCTTAAACGTTTATGCATGTGACTTTATGTACTGCCACTCACTAAAAATTGATTTCGATTTACAAAATGTGTGTTCATGGCCTTTGAGCTCCTTTGGATTTAAATGATGCAATGGAAACTAATCTAATATCCCTCTTTTATTCTTTTTTCTATTCAGAATTTATGAAATTTATACTTTAATAATGATGTTATAGGTGCTGGTTTTGATGATGAGAAGACACTGTTAATGTCTCAAATGAGCCTGGAGAAAAGATTTGGTCAATCTGCAGTTTTTGTTGCATCCACTCTCATGGAGAATGGTGGTGTTCCTCAGTCTGCTACGCCCGAGACACTTCTCAAAGAGGCAATTCATGTTATAAGTTGTGGTTATGAAGATAAGACGGAGTGGGGAAGCGAGGTATAATTCATATTGGTTGACATGGCTGCTTGTTGTTTGTTTGTGATTTCTGTCACGGTTCCTTAGTATTTCTTTTCTTATTCTTGACTTTGTCTGATTGTTATCGTCCTTGTTTCCTGAAAATGATGCTTTTTTTTCCTACAGAAGAATAAAAAATAAATAAAATAAAATAATAATAATAAATGATGCTCTTTAAGTGTGGTGTGGAATCACAGAATAGTATGTGTTTCTAATGTAATGAAGTTTGGTCTTCTATTTTTGGCATCTTTTACTGCTATGGCTTTGATTAGTGTTTAGGATTAGCTACTTGTTTCCTATTATTTTGCGGCAAATTTGGTGGCTTGGTATCCATTGACTGTCATCTTTTGTGCAGATTGGATGGATTTACGGTTCAGTTACAGAAGATATTCTGACTGGATTCAAAATGCATGCCCGTGGCTGGCGTTCTATTTACTGCATGCCTCATAGACCTGCATTCAAGGGTTCAGCTCCAATCAATCTTTCCGATCGTTTAAACCAAGTGCTCCGGTGGGCTTTGGGATCTGTGGAAATTCTATTCAGCAGGCATTGTCCAATATGGTATGGTTACAGTGGAAGGCTGAAGTGGCTAGAGAGATTTGCATACGTCAATACTACAATTTACCCTATCACTGCCATTCCTCTACTCCTGTATTGTACTTTGCCAGCTGTCTGTCTGTTCACTGGGAAGTTCATTATTCCGCAGGTTTGTTAATCTTTCTATGTCATTCTATTGCTGGTTGCTTTCAAATGATTTGTTCTTTAAAATCTAATAATGGCTTAAAATTTTAAAGTTAGAGGAGCATCAATGATTTTTCATATTTCATCATCTTAACCTCATGAGTCATGACAATGCCCTTAGCTCTTCTTGACGATTTTTATCTTATGTATACCATTCCTTCATACTTGCAGATCAGTAATGTTGCCAGTATTTGGTTCATATCCCTCTTTCTTTCCATCTTTGCTACTGGTATACTTGAAATGCGGTGGAGTGGTGTTGGAATTGATGAATGGTGGAGGAATGAACAATTTTGGGTTATTGGTGGTGTTTCTGCTCATCTTTTCGCAGTTGTTCAAGGGTTGCTCAAAGTGCTTGCTGGTATTGATACCAACTTCACTGTCACATCCAAGGCATCAGATGAAGATGGCGATTTTGCAGAACTCTACATGTTCAAGTGGACAACCCTTCTTATACCGCCGACAACTCTTCTTATTGTAAACTTGGTTGGTGTTGTTGCGGGCATTTCATATGCCATCAACAGCGGTTATCAATCATGGGGTCCTCTCTTTGGGAAGTTGTTTTTCGCCTTCTGGGTGATTGTTCATCTTTATCCTTTCCTCAAAGGTTTGATGGGGCGCCAGAACAGGACACCAACCATAGTTGTGGTTTGGTCAATCCTACTTGCTTCCATTTTTTCTCTCTTGTGGGTGAGGATTGATCCCTTCACCACCAGAGTTACTGGCCCTAATGTCGAACAGTGTGGAATTAACTGTTAAGGACGACAAAAAAAGTCGAATCCATTCCAAGTACCAGTCTAGGTCAGTGAAGACGATTGAAGTAATTTAAAGCGATAGAAAGGGGTTTCAGCCAAGCGATGTTCCCTGAGTTAATAGGCAAAATGTTGTGTCAGTGTACCTGTTTTGCATGTTAAGATCACTTTTTGTGCAGAAGTTAGTTGTATACCGTCTCAAATATGTATTTATGGACTCAACATCCATTCTTTTTTGGTTAAGCTTTGTTGGTAAGAAGATACCAAATTTCATACCCAGGGATAGTTGCCCTTTTGTAATTTAATTGTATGCTAGTTGGTTATGCTTAAATATAATTTCATTCATTCATACTAGTATTTAATAACTGTTTATTTCATATTAGTTTCACTTTCACGTTTTTGAAGCAGCAAACTTCAATTGCTTTGGTTTTGCCATAATTAGAAAGAAGGAACTCTCTTATTAAAAAAGATGCAATGTTTCTCTAAACTGCGAATTGCTTGGGTTCTTTTTCTTTTTTTTTCTTTTGTCAAACTTGCTTGGTTAATTCTCCCTCATGGTAGAAAAATTATCTACTTTATTCGAAATAATAGTTAACAAAGTAAATTATTTTTTGAAAAAAAAAAGGAGTAACATTTTCTTTGCAAGTATTGGAAAAGATCAGCAATAAGAAAAAAAAATTTTAAAAAAAAGCTCAAAATATTACTTCTCTTACCTCGTAAGTCTCCAGCCAGCCCAATCTCCAAAAATGGAAAAGAAAAAAATAAAAATAAAAAAATAAGCAGCTGCACACACACAGACACGTGCAAAGATTTTTATTGTCTGTCAAAGTCCAAGAAGGAGATTCACCCCAGATACCATATCCAGCTCCTCCTCTTGCCACTTCATTTAGAGAGGTATGCGTTTCCGTGCTTTTCTTAACTTAGATGTTTTGGATTTTCATGAAATTGTTTACCAGGAAACGATCAAGAGGATGAATCCTTGTTTCCCTGTGCAGATTTTGTGTGGATGCAATGGCTGTCAGGTCATTCAGTGAAGCTCAACCCTGTCTATGCTTGGACTCCATGAATTCGAGTAGCCTGAGCATAATAAAGACTAAAATTGAAATCCCTTTTGGCAAAAACTTGGATGGGAGAAGGAATTGGAAGAAGCCCAAGTCAATGAATTTGGGCAGCTCTTTTATGGATACAGGGTTTTCAAAAAGGCTTTCTTGTTCTGGTACTGTACAAGGGATTTCTTCCAGGAAGAAGAAGAAGAAGCTTCATCATCGTCATCTTCGGATTGTTGGTAATTTGGGTGGTCAGTATGAAGAAACATTTGATGATGTAAAAAGAGTAAGAAACATTTGATGATTGAAATCCCTGTTTTTTTCCCTTTTTTTTTTCTGTTGCTGCTGAATCTATGGTGATTTGAGGTGTTCAAGAAATTCAACTTAATCAGAGTATTATGCATTTTGTAGGAGATAATCAATTACTTGACATACAAAGCCGTGAGGACTGTTATGAACCAACTCTATGAGATGGATCCACCACGATATATGTGGTTTCACAAGTAAGTGAAACCATAAACCTTTTTCAACACTGTTTTTGTTGTACTAACAATCTGGTTTTTGCTACTATCCATAGTATTTTTTTGTTGTCACTAGGCTCCCAGATTCCTATCTCTGTAATCTTGTTTCGAATTGGAAATCTGTGTTGAAATGTTCTTTGAATATCTTTTCCTTGAAATGTTTTTTTTTTTTTTTGGGGGGTAAATTTGAAATGTTCATTGAATATTAATATCAGGTCGAAAAATCACCTGCTTGTCGTGATTTGGGATTTAGTTTTACCGATGAAATGGAGGTGATCGTCTTGATTGTTATTGGAAGCTTGGTAAAACACAAAATAGCAATCTGAAGGAGCTCATATGAATCCTTCCATTCGATATCTTTGTGGATTTTGACTAGTTAGAAGAATCACACTTTGCTTCCATTTTCCCTTGAAAGAACATGTGAACCAATCTCGACCATTTGATACCCTGCAGCATTCACTTGACATCAGTGACTGATTATATATTCATTCATTTTGCAGCTTTCTTGCAGAACACGAGCCTTGCACAGGGAAGCGATTCCTTCAAACCCTCGCGAAGGTAATGGGATGAATTAAAAATCTTAGTAAATGTAATCTCATTTCATGCTAACCAAAGGCATGAATTTAAAAATGTCAGGTTTCAGGCTTCTAGGAAACCTAGAGGATGAAGTGATCAAAAACGAATTGATTTGTCAAGCTCAAAGCAAATTAACTGCTTCAGATCAATTAGCTGATAAAACTGCAGCCTTATGACTGAATCGATCGTTGCCTGATCAATGTTTAAAATTCTTGGTGTTTTTTACAGGAAAAGCAAGAGCTTGCTGAGAGAGTAATGATAACGCGGCTTAACCTATATGCAAAATGGATAAAGGTATGTCTGCTTTCACCAGTTCCCACGGTTCGGTTGCCGTTTTGATTGCATCTGTCTGATCTATTCTGTTAATGTCAATGACTATAGTAATGGATTCATCACTAGCAAACAATTCTTATCAACAAAGCAAGTGAAGGCTTATTGAGTCATATAAGTTCTTCGTTCTTCATTCTCGTTGTCGTATTGTCTAGGTGTGTGATCATGCTGAGATGCACAAGGAAATCTCTGATGAAAATTTGGAGTTAATGAGAGAACAGTTGCTGGAAACCGTAGTATGGCCATCAGATGATGAGCCTGATATGGACCGTGTAGATTGAAGTGGAATATTTCTGTCGCCTCCAACGACGATTCCTTCAGCTGGTTTATTCCTTCAAATCTGTTTGTATGTTCATGTATGTATATATAGCTGAATCCCGTTTACATTCTGTGAAAGATGCTATCACTATCAGTCTCATAATAATGTACTTTTTCCCAGTATCTCTCTTAATTTGTTAGCATTGACCATCTCCAATTCAAGAAATGCCAAATATTCTGATTCTGACATGAAATTTGGTGAAACATTTCAAGGTATAACCGGCTTAGAGTAACAACAACCCAACCCTCCAACCCTATTGGCATCCTCTGTTCCTCAAGGATTCGCTGGCCTATGTGATTGACATCTAGTTATTGTATAGTAACTTTCCTTTTATGGTATCTTTCCTTTTATGGGTATTTTCTTTCTTTTTCAGATTAAATCTTTTTAGTATTGATATTTTCTTCTCTTAATCACTACTCTTGCAAGGAGACTCGATTTCTATCATGATTATTTGTCCAAAGGGACTACCCTTCAAATATGTAACTTTGTAATCAACTATTTCCTGCCTGCTTCGATAAAAGAACTTATACTAATAGTGGCATTTTGGATTTCAACGTTTAATATTTGACGAATAACTAGAACTCAAAAGAAAGGGACTACACTATAATCTTCCTTTGTTTTCTTACACGTCCAATTTTTCTTTTCTGGACCTCCTTGATGTCTGTGCCAAATGAGTTACATGATGAATGTGGTCATATATCTCAGAGCTGATTTAGAGCCGCTTCCAGAATATTGACAAAGAAGAAGATTAAAAGAAGGAAACTTGACACCACGTGGCGGAAACCCAGTGCCACGCATGAACAACGTAGTAACGTGGCTCTTCCCTATTGATATAGTCATGTTGCCATGTGTTCTAACATCTCAATCTTAAACAATCAGAACCCCTTATCATTTAACACCTGTTATTTCGCTCCCATTTTGATCATCATCATCTTCCTCCTAGCTAAGATTCTCCCCTTTTTAATGCTACCCCATTGCCCAAAGGGAATTTGCACTTGGTGAAGAAAAGCTTCGAAAAAAGGACGTTCTTTTTCAAGACCCATAAGATCTCATCAAATCGACAATACAAGAGGGAAGAGAATACACAACTTATAAAGGCTGCAGAGTGCAGAGAATCATTGAAGTAAAAAAAAAAAAAAATGGCCATGGTAGAAGAGCCTGTAATTTCGAGATTAGACCGCCTTGATAACATTGTAAGTGATCAATAAGTTAATATGGAGTTGGATATTTTTTAGTTTTTTTTTTTTTTTTTGGACAATTTTTTTTACTTAATTTTAAAGGTTCTATACTTTTTTCGTCTTAGCTGAAAACTTTAACACGATGTGAAGTTTAATTAGTTCTACCATGATGATTATTGATAATTAGGGTCTTTGGTTTCTCAATTCTCTCAGCTTATTGCACTATTGAGCTTAAAACATTTCCCTGTAAAACAAGATTGAATGCAAACCTCTGTTTTGCTGAGAATCAATTAGACAAGCAAAATGTAGTAACTTGGTTGCCAATTTTTAGGCCCTTCTTCTCATTTTGAATTGGATTTGTTGTTTCTTAAAAAACGTGTATAGCTAAAACAATTGGAGATGACAAGAGAAGGATACCATTCTCCGAAGAGTTCAACTGCATCCACAACCTCAAGTACTCAAACCTCTGCAAGTGATGATTTTTCTCCCAGGAGTTTGGAGAAGCATTGCCGTCCAATTGATGTTGTAAGAATGGAAACCGGAGTTAAAGGAACTGTTATGGAAAGGTTGTCCCACATTGAGGATCGCTTACTAAAGGTTAGTATATATAATCAAACTACAGAGCTTCCTTTGCTCTGCTTTTTTGCTTTTTTCCGACCAAAAAAGAATCATGGCATGGGAAAAGCTGATGTTAATTGTGTATCTATGTAATGTTAAGAGAAATGTGGTTTTATATTTTGAATTTTTGATTGGGTCGTTAATTTAGTTATGCTTGCAGCTAGAGGAGGAGATGGAAGCTGAGAGAAGGAGATCAGTGGCAGCGGCCGCCCCTGTTCTGCCGGCTGTGGCGGCGGCGCCATCGTCGGAGAAAACGAGTTCCAGGACTGCGAGAAAAAGTTTGAAGAGCTTGGTTAGATCATGCGTCAAGGGGAAAAAGGAGTCCAACTCCAAACCTTGGAAGTAGACAGTAGTAGATGCCGGCCAGAGCATCTCCAAGTTTTGTTTAATTACGTTCTTGAATGTCTTGAGTTATTCTCTCTTGTAATTTGTGTGTGTGTGTGTGTTTCCTTTAAAAATATGTTATGAAGTGTTCTGTTTTATGTAGAATTTGGAAATGATTTAGGGGAAAATTAACATATTTCTCGAATGTAATCCTCTTCCATCGAATTGTTTAGGAGTTACTGTCAAATGGATGCAATATGTTGTTGCTTTTATGTCCAAAACTTACTCTTCTCCCTGAAAATTATTGTATTTCAATTTTAGTATAATTTGAACTAAAAATGAAAATTCAAACTGAACAATAATTATATCACAGAGGAAATATTATACTTGGGTTGAAATTTATATGTACAGTTAATTTGTTTAGGAACTTCAAGGATTGTATCAACAAGACAATCATTTGGAATAATAATAGATTAATTGATATGATAAATTCATTACGATAACTCATCAATACACCATAATTTCATGGCTTATAAAAAATTGTAGTAACAAGTTCTGGGTTGGATTATTTTCAGTTGCATATTATTAACTATTCTCTTTATTTACTTAAAACAGAATTCTCTAACGACATTTGGCAGCTTCATATTTAACGTTTTTTTTTCTAAAGCTAAAAGCCCTTCGCAAAAAGATTAGACACGTGGCTCTCTAAAATTGTAAGAAAACAGGGTGAAAGTTCACCAACATAAATATTTTCGGATCACATTAATCTCTACAATATTTCCATTGAATTAGTAATCAAAATTACATTCCCAGGATTTTCGGGTAGTTGAATCCATTCAGTGGTCAAACGAGGATTTTCGGGTAAATAATTCCCTGATGGTACTTTTGGTTTTTTCTATTTCTAATCAATTATTTTTCCTTTTATTAGATTATGTGCATTTACCAAGAATCACGAAGATTATTTTGTTCACAAAACTTGAAGGGGGTAAATTGAAATCTTGACACTGTTTGCTTTCATCTATTTATTGATTGTGGTTGTACAACGGAAATTATGAATCCATCCATTCTAATGGCTCTTAGGTACGCCAGAATTCTCACGGGTAAATGATTTTACTACTCAAAACAATTTCAACCATTTTTGGAATCTCTATTTTACATGAATTTCTTGGTTCTGCTTTGATAATATATAATGATAATATTCAACTGATGGTCATCGTCTTTGAACAAATGATCAAGTTTCTTTTTGGGAAACCTTTCATATGATTTAGAATGAGTTAAAACTACTTGAATCTTCATTCAGTTTGTCATTTATAATTTTAAATCGACTTCTGTTTTTGTTGTATCTATGTTTTCACAGGTTTTCGTGTTCCTTACATCAAATGTCAAATTCTCCCCATGTTCGAGTAGACTATCGATTTCATTTTCTATCTCTTTACAATGCAACTAACAACCATAGTGACTTTGCATGTTTGTCATGAAAATGACAATCTAACTTTATATAATAACTAAATAAAAATCTTGAATTTGGCAGAGCAATCTTTTACAGCAGTGGATAAAAGATCCCACCAGGCTCATATTAGAGCCAACCACATTAACAATGGGAAGATCCATCCCATGACAACGAGAAAGACGACTCGGGTTATAATGTCATTCCTATAATTTTTCCAATAATTCTTCCGGGTTAATATATAATCATGTAGCATTAAGCGTATGAATTGTGTCACTGATGCTCCAAATACATTTGAATATGCTTTTTTCTGTATTATTAAGAAGCAATAAACTTTAGAATTTAGGATGTTACCCCAATACGGAAATTTGATGTTCAGTTTGCTCCACACGGTCATCATATATAACGAAGTTGTACATTTTGTACATTAGTTTAGTATGTTATAATAAGAGTCTTCCTCTTCCCCCCGTCTTTCCAGAGAGAAGAATAGTAGAGAAAGAAGAAAAAGCGAGAGTGACCATGTCGGATGAAGGTGCCCACTTCGAGCACAAGGCTGATACCGGAGCCTCCAAGACCTACCCCCAACAAGCTGGAACCATCCGTAAGAATGGCTACATCATCATTAAGAATAGGCCCTGCAAGGTTTTTGAAGTCTCCACTTCCAAAACTGGCAAGCATGGACATGCGAAGTGCCACTTTGTTGGAATTGATATTTTCAGTGGAAAGAAGCTCAAAGATTTTGTTCCTTCCTCCTATAACTGTGATGTCCCTCATGTCAACAACGCTGATCTCCAGCTGATTGACATCTCTGAAGATGGATTTGTGTCTTTCCCACTGAAAGTGGAGGTACTAAAGATGACCTAATCGAAGCTCCCCACAGATGATAATATGCTTGCCCAGATTAAAAACAATTTTGAGGAAGGAAAGGATCTGGTTCTAAGGGCGATGTCTGCAATGGGTGAAGACCAAATTTGCATCGTGAAGGATATTGTTAAAAATTAGAGTGAACCTCAAAACAAGTCATCAACCTTTAATATATTCTCACTCTAGGTCATCAATTAAATTTATTTGTAACACAGGTTACGTTACTTAAGTTTTAATCCATTTCAGATTATTCTGTTAATTTTGGCCGTTAAATAGTGACGGAAATCCATTTTTCACATGCTTTTGGGTTCATGGGTATTTTTATCATTTTTTTTATTTTTTATTTTTTAATCTTTAATTTTTTTTTTTTTACAATTTTTCTTCTTATACTTCCTAACTTGTATACACTGATAGTATAATTCTAAATTTTAAAAATTTATTTTCCTTTTGTTTTTTAACTTCTAGATTATAAAATTTTTTTAAAAAAATTTAAGATCTCGAGTTAAAGTAAACATGAAAATTAATAATTTACCATTTAAAAAAAAAAGAAAAACTAAAAGAATTAGCTAAGACAAGTTGTTTCTTCTAGGTTATTTAATTTTTTTCAACTCGATTGAATTATTTAATTATTAATCTTTACGTTTCTTATTCCTTCTTTTTATAATCTAGAACTCTAGGTTATTTAATTTTTTTCAACTCGATTGAATTATTTAATTATTAATCTTCACGTTTCTTATTCCTTTTTTTTATATAAGATAGAACTCTAGGTTATTTAATTTTTTTCAACTCGATTGAATTATTTAATTATTAATTATTTAATTTTTTTCAACTCGATTGAATTATTTAATTATTAATCTTCACGTTTCTTATTCCTTTTTTTTATATAAGATAGAACTCTAGGTTATTTAATTTTTTTCAACTCGATTGAATTATTTAATTATTTAATAATTATTTAAATAACCTAGAGTTGTAGATTATAAAAAAAAAGGAATAAGAAACGCGAAAATTAATAATTAAATAATTCAATCGAGTTGAAAAAAATTAAATAACCTAGAAGAAAGAACTTATTAATTATGGCATGTACTTGACAAACACAAATTATGTTAAAGAGTTGTGATGGTATAGATTATATGACTAAAAATAATTTATAAGACGTACTTACAAATATCAAAATATGAATTTGAATGTCAAATTAAATATTGTGCAAATTGTGAAAAAATTTAATCTTAATGGTGATGAAAAGTACATGCCATATTATGTTTTTTAGTGGTATGGAAACAACTAAACAAATTAATATTATACTTAAATTATATTAATTAAATTTATGAGGACTTTATTTATTAGTACACAAAGTTCTTCTATTTTACATTCATAGAATCATGCCACATAGGATTTTGGCACTCTAGGAATCATTAACCAGTTTCTCTCTTTGGTTTCTTCGTTATGATATACTACTACATGTTAAACCCGCACGATGTGCGGCGTTTATACATATACATCTATTAAAATATATTTTTAAATTTTAAATGTGATTAATACAAATAAAATAACTGATTTGTAATAATAAATATATGATTAAAATTAAATTAGATCGTGATAAATAAAATTGTTATATATACTTCGAAATGACAACATTTTATAAATTGTATGCCAAAAATGTAATTAAATAATGGAATATGTATAAAGATTATTTACAAATAAAAGTAAAAAAGACCACCAAAATAATAAATAAGATGTTACATGTCATATAAATCAAAGCAATTTATGTCTACACGGTTAAAAACGCATGTTAATCAAGATTGTAAACAATTGGAGAAAGAGACACCTTACATGTTAAATAAAACATGATCGGAGTGAGGTCGTCGCCGCAAAGATGTTTTTGTAAAGTATAGCTTCAGTGTTTCATCGGTTGTTATTGTACATGTTAAAGTTAGACCGAAGTGGATATTTATAGTGAATGTATGAATGAGATATCATATTTGTTTTTTCTTTTTGAAATGAATATACTTGATAAATACATTGTGAAAAAAAATTGCTATTCTCCTGTTTGCTGATTAGCACTGAGAAATATGGTTTGAGAAACTAATTCATATGTGTGTAATTTGAGATACTCATCTTCCTAAACGCTTGTTTGTTTGATTTTTGAATTTTCAGTAAAATTTATATTAGTATAATAAGAAATAAAAATTCAAATTAAACAATCATTTCAGAAATAAAAAAAAATAATTACTGTACTTGTATTGGGATTACTATCTTTATTACACTTATTTATAGTTGTGAAATTACTACTATCTTTCGAAGAATCGGACACCCGACTGCATTGTGCTGTTCGTTTTCTTTAGAATTTATATTTTCGGCCCAATTATTGTTTTCTGTGAGTAAAAATTCCTGCATACAGTACAACAAAATAAGTACTCGTCAAAAACAATTTTGCGGACAAAAAAAGTTGTCACTTTCCTCTGATCTTATGGGATAAATAATTGACAACACACAAAAGAAAAAAAAAAAAAAATTCCTTTCAAAACGAGTCAAGTTAAGCACGCGGATCTTCTTTATGTTTTTCCTTTTCTTTTTCTAAAAATCACTTTTTTATTCCACTACCGGACGTCAACATTTGAATTTCAAATTAATTAAATCCCTCCCCCAACATCCGCCAACCCAATTTCCCCGATCCATATCCGGTCAACTCCCTTGACTCAACTAGAAACCTCCCGAACCGGGTTCCCACTTCCCACTCTCCCTCAAATTTCAAAATCCAACTTAATTTCAACTGAATTTCATTTCGCGTAAATTTCAACGCCATTTGAATTTGCATTTCATCTTCATTTCAATGTAATCTCGACCGAAGCAAAATCCACCCAGAAACCTATCGCTTTCTCCCCAAAATCTTTATCTCTCTCTCTCTCTTCCCTGACTTCTTCACTCTTCACTTTCTCTCTCTTTATTGTGTTTGTACACTACTGCACTGTAAAAAAATACATTTTTTTTTTGTTTATTAGAGAATCTGTTGTAATTTATACTTTGATTTTTTATTTAATTTTTGGTTTGTTTGCAAGAGGGGGGTTGAGTTGGAGATGAATACAATGGTCAATTTCGGAGATGACAATATTGTTGTTGTTAGGTAGTGGTTGTTGTCGGAAAGGGAGCTTTTTTGGCTTCTGGGTTTGTGTTTTTGTTTTGGGTGTATGTGAATACTGTTAATCGATTGATGATGATGATGATGATGATCAGTGAAGATACTGATTTGGGTTTTTGAAGTTTTTGTTTTGGGTTTTTAGTTTGTTTGTTGGATTGGGAGAAATAGAAATACAGGGGTTTTCAGCTTCTGCTTTCGTGAACCTATAAAAGGGGGTCTCTGAAGCAGATTTTCTGATCGGCCCAGTTGCTGCTTTTTCGTCTTTTTTAGATCAGTGGTAAGTCTTGTTTATGTCTTTGGTATTTTTGAGTTTTTTTTTTGTTATGATGTATGTTTTTGTCTGACGGGATGTGTTTATTTGCTGCTGGTATGGGATGTATGTTTTTGAGATCTATGTTCCGTGGATGTGTTTTCAGCTTCACTGTTGACTTGCATGTGTATTTGATCATCTGGATCTTTTTTTCTTCTATTTCTGATTGCTGTTTTCCTTTTGATTTTGTTATTGTACTTAGCTCCTTTGACTTTACTTTCTTTTGGTTTGATTTGTTTTACTGAATGCTTTGGATGCTCTTAATTTCTGTATTTTTTCCCTGTTCATTTGGAGTTTGCTTCAGCTCAGATATTTGGATCTCTGTAGATAAAGTAGGAAACGTGGCATGTAATCAGGATTTGTTCGCTTGTGGTGGATTTACATATCAAATTGATGCAAAATTTCTGATCTTGGAACATCTGATTCATTCTTGGTAATTGTTGACTTTCCTGTGTTTTCCTAATAGATTTTTTTTTGGTTAATCCAACTTTTGAGATCTTGGTAATGGTATTTGCTGGAACTATGATATTTATGTGTTTTCCTTCTACTTTTAGTCCCTTTTGATGTTATTCTTCCGTCATGCATCCTATGGTTGGTGTTTAATATTTACTCTGGACTAGTGTTTGACTTTTTTCCCCATAGTAGTGTGTTCATATGTACAGAATTGTTGTGATCTGAAAGTAAATTATTGTTGATCTAATTGCAGTTAACAAAATCATGTGCAGTGGGCCAGAGAGATCAAATTCATCTTCATCTTCCAAGGAATCTACTGTTGACTCTAATTTATCCTCCCACAATATGAGTAAATTAACTGTTGTGACTGAAGATTGTTTCTCTAGTTTGCTTGAGCTTGCTGCTAACAATGATGCTGAGGGTTTCAAGCGAATGGTTGAGCAAGATCCCTCTTCTGTTGATGAGGTTGGACTGTGGCTAGTGCGCAGAACAGATATTAAGAAGATTGTGAATGAGGAGAGAACTCCATTGATGGTTGCTGCAACATATGGGAGTGTTGATGTCTTGAGGCTTATTGTGACTCTTCCGGAGGTTGATTTGAATCGGACCTGTGGACCAAACAAGTTCACAGCACTTCATTGCGCTACATCTGGTGGGGCTGTCAATGCAGTTAATGTGGTTAAGCTTCTTTTGTCGGCTGGTGCTGATCCAAACATAGAGGATGCCAATGGTCGAAGACCTGTTGATGTGATTATTGCACATCCAAAACTTACGAATGGTAGAGTTGCACTTGAGGAATTGCTTATCAGCAGTATATCTGACGGGTCATTTGGAAACTGCAATTTGAGCCTCTCTGCGACTAATTCAAACTCGTCTTCGCCGGTTCTTTCTTCTTCACCAGAGAATGGGTCTCCATGCTCCCCATCAGACTCTGTACCATCTCCTGTTGCATCCAAGTTCAATGATACCCCGGCTAATTCTGCATCAGAGAGGAAGGAGTATCCTGTTGATCCATCTCTTCCTGATATCAAGAATAGCATTTATGCAACTGACGAGTTCCGGATGTTCTCCTTCAAGGTGAGACCTTGTTCAAGGGCATATTCTCATGATTGGACAGAGTGTCCTTTTGTTCACCCTGGAGAGAATGCCCGACGAAGGGATCCCCGGAAGTTCCACTATAGTTGTGTTCCCTGTCCTGATTTTCAAAAGGGTGCTTGTAGGCGAGGTGACATGTGTGAGTATGCACATGGTGTATTTGAGTGTTGGCTGCACCCAGCCCAATACCGAACGCGGCTATGCAAGGATAGTACTAACTGTGCCAGGCGAGTTTGCTTCTTTGCCCACACTACAGAGGAGCTTCGACCATTGTATGTCTCTACTGGGTCTGCAGTTCCCTCCCCTAGGTCAGCTACCTCAGCAGCTGGTGTGATGGACATGGCTGCTGCATTGAGCCTTTTGCCTGGATCTCCTTCATCTCATTCTGTGATGTCTCCCACGGCATTTAATCAGCAGATGTCTCCAACTGCAAATGGAATGCCTCATTCATCTCAAGCGTGGCCACAACCTAATGTTCCGACCTTGCATCTCCCAGGAAGCAACCTCCAATCTAGTCGTCTGAGATCTTCTCTCAGTGCGAGGGATATCCCGCCTGAGGATATCAACATGTTGCAGGATTTTGATGCCCCTCAACCGTTACTGAATGACTTGGCTTGTTTTCCACAGTCACGTCCTAATTCTTTTTCTTTGAATCGACCTGGTCGGTCCAAAACACTAACTCCTTCAAATCTTGAAGAGCTATTTTCTGCTGAGATCGCATCTTCTCCGAGATATTCTGATCAGGCAGCGGCAGCTGGTGTTTACTCTCCATCTCATAAATCGGCTTTTATGAATCAGTTCCAGCAGCAGCAGAGTATGCTTTCCCCAATCAAGACTAATGTGTTTTCACCAAAAAATGTTGAGCATCCTTTATTGCAGGCCTCTTTTGGTGTTTCCTCTCCTGGAAGGATGTCACCTAGAGGTGTTGACCCCATTTCTCCTATGAGTGCTCGGCTCTCGGCATTTGCTCAACGCGAGAAGCACATGCAACAGCTACGCAGCCTCAGCTCTAGGGATCTAGGATCCAACAATGCTTCTGGAATTGGGTCTCCTGCCAATTCCTGGAACAAGTGGGGCTCACCCAGTGGGAAAGTGGACTGGTCTGTTAATGGAGTTGAATTTGGACAGTTGAAGAGGTCACCATCCTTTGAGGTTAACAACAACGGAGAGGAGCCCGATGTATCATGGGTTCAATCTCTTGTGAAGGAACCATCACCTGAGATGAAGGAAAAATTTGCAGCACCACCCATTTCTGGTGCTGCGCCATCCGGTGAGGGTTTGAAATCTTCCAATTCTCAAATTGATTCTGTTGATCATGCAGTTTTAGGAGCTTGGCTGGAGCAGATGCAACTTGATCAGCTCATAGTCTAGTAACAGCCTATATTCATTTTGATTTAAACAAAAACTAAACTCTTAGACAGTATATAGTCTTTCGGGTATACTTTTTGTTGGTGAGAAAGAGTGGATGATCCGTCTGTTTCTCACGGGGGACTTGAGGGTAACATTCTGGGAGTTCCATTCATTTTTAATCAATTTTTTGATGTTTACAAGTCTTATGTCGCCATCCGGGGCTGGCATTAATGAATACCCAGTCCGGCTTGGTTAATATTTGTATGCCATGATTATTCTATAAATATTTTTTTTCCCATTCTGATTCCAGTAACTTCTAATTCTTCTTCAGCTTGATGTTATCTTTTTTGTTTTTTTTCGTGCTGTCTTCTGTCTTCATTCTTGTGACGCATTGTCGATTTCATTGCGTGTCAATCTTGAGACCTGAAACTTGCTGTAATTTACAAAGAAGGTTGAATTGGAAAGGCTGTCATCCCAAATTACTGGTACTGGTTGGGGGGAGTTGACTCATCCTTTCTTCATGTTTTCCCCTACCTACCTACCAAGAAGTCTACATCTATTGGATTGAAGAATTCTGAAAGAATGTAATGTAATCTCATTTGTAAAGGAAGGTGTAAATTCTCCCAGAAGTTGAGTTGGTTTAGACTTTAGACAATGAGATGTGGAGGTTTCTTGCGTGTTTAGTAGAGTTTCCGCAGTCGTCGAAATGTTTTCTTCAGTGTTTTACAATTAGTAATGTGAAAGGAATCAGAAAAACCATCCGTTTGTAGCAAAATACACACATTAGAATTTTTCTTTGGTGCCCTCTAATCTACTTGTTTCATAAAGAATTTGCTTAAATCAAGGTTTAAGTTTATTAATTGAGGACACGTCTTCTGTCCCAAAATTATATTAAGAGAAAGGAGCGATTTGTAAGTCGGTTTTGTGACTTTTTTCCTTTTAATTTGAGAAGTTAGGATGCAAAATAAATATGCTTCCTTCTTAAAGTACTGATGTCCTTTTGTCTTGAAGAAATATATCCTTCTTACTTTTCCATTTCCTTGTGAATATATTGGATGGGGGCTTTCTGGTGAAGACATGCACTCATGCAGTATGCACTAAAAGTGCAGCAAAATTGCAGGAAATCACTGGTGGAACCATTTCATAAGCCACAAACAAAAGATGGGAGGTAAGTATGAATATAATAAAAATGAGCTGAACATAATCAATGTGGTATAAAGATTTGTAGTCTAGCAATTCTATATGCAGGGAAAGAGACATCCTAAAACTGTTTAATTCCCTGTCTTGCATACTCAATACTGATACAAAAATCAGGCAAGATCTACAACTCTGTACCATTGACATGTATGTAAATGTGATACATTTGCTTCTATGAGGATTCAGAGACGGCAGAATCTGTGTCCTCGGACGATGTTTTTCCCCGAAGGTACCTCCACGGTCCTGTACCGGAACACACCCTGCAAACAAGGCAAATGAAACCATGTCAGCAGTTTACTCAGTCTGAAAGATCCCTTAAAAGCTTCTCGAGGCACAACAAGTGGATTATGGTTATTTACCTCCAAAAGCCGGCACTGGCGCGTAGCATCATGTATATGCTCAAAGCAATCCATATCCCAATAAATCCATAAACTTTTGAGAGAAGAAACAAGCATCCAATGCTTGCTGCAGCCACCATAACCTGTTCCGAAGAGGGAATGTTACACATCTGTCATCAAGAGATGAACCTATGCCCTTTGAATGATGAGAACCATAAATTCTGTTCTCGAAACAAGGCGAACCATTATAACTGATGTATCATTTTTACTTTGAAGATGTTCCATTAATTTTCTGTTAAAGTAGGTGGATTTACCATGGAGTAAGCAGAATAAGCAAAGTCAAATGAGCCATAGTTAATTCCATCGAACACAAAAGCTAACGAGTTGATCGGTTGTGTGCCTGCGACAAACTGACCAAAGAAGACAAACAAATTTTTCAGTAGCTGACCTAACTGAAGGAAGCATCAATTGGTGATATTTATCGTCGAACATACCGGGATTCCTACACTTATGATGAGAATGACATGTTTATCTTTGGTAAATATTCCCGATCCAAAGTACAGACCGAGTCCTACTACCAGAGCTAGGCTCAGTCCCAGCACAAATCCCATCTGCATAAAATGAAATCTCAGAGGCTTCATACGGTTGAATTGTGAATGTGAGAAGGAACAAAAACTAAAAACATTAGTTAACATCTTATAACAATTTTCATTTTCTAAACAATTCAAGTACAAGAACTGCCTTTCTTAAGATATGTTCTTTTGTAGAAGTTTTCAACAGCTGATGATCTGATTGACAGTGTCGATTTCAGGTTCTTGCAGGATATAGTACTTAAATCTCAGCCCAAAGGAGGAAAAATCCGCGTATGTTTACCTGTATCACTCTCCTTGCTGCTGCTGTTGCCTTCTCATAGTCCTTCTCAGCAAATGCACAGGCAAGAATGGCCTGAAGGCAAATTGCAACATCAGAAAAGCTTGCAAAATAAATTGTTTGGCTGATCGAAAATGTTTGGTCAAAACATAGTTATGTATGAACCTACAAACTTTTCTAGCAAAAGAGATTCCAGACATGTAAGATTAAGTAGCATAAAACATACCGATTGACTTACAGATACTGGTGGAAGAAGAACTTTCTCTTTTTCTTTGTTTTCTTTCATGCTTTCAATATATTTGTTGGAAGCTATTGTCATTGTCATTTTGATTGAAGAAACTTTGTATTAGGGAGTCTAGAAAAACCAAATATTTTAACACTCTTTATATTCCACTCAGTTAAAGCTTTTTCTCATACATAATAATTGAGCACGATGGTTGATGCTGCTTCTTTTCCCTCCTCTACTTTACTTTCTTATTGCCTTCTGACCTAAAAGTTCAACATTGTACTCACAACTACTCCATCCAAAATGGATCCTACCAGGAAAACTACCTTTTAGTATGTTGCATAGCTTGTTAGAACCTTGAAATGGTTGTTTATATATTATCTGAAACTCCAATCATTTCTTTGCTAAACAAAACAGGGTCTTCTGTACGAGCACAAGTACTAGCATTTTTCTATCCAGTAGTTTCACATTTCTAGTATAGCTTAGTTGTGGTGACATAGCTCACCTGTCCAGCAACAGCCAAACCATCAGAGAGAAGCGATGATGTGAGCCAGACCTGCAAGCAAACTTGGAACGCAGCCATTGGTGTTGCTCCAAGCCTAGCAGCCTTTGAAGCAGCCAGCGTCACACAGATTGTTGCAGCCAATACTCTAGCTAGTATTAGAAAACCTGCGATCAAGGGCAAAGATAAAGTCAACTATGGAGAGTTCATTCATCTACTTGCTCAAATAATTGAATCAGATGAAAGACATGTCCACACAAAAATATTGGTTATGTCGGCATAGAGGTTCAGGTAATGAGCATCAACCAAGGAAAAATAAGGGAGTTGATGGGGAGATAACCACTACAATTATTTGCACCCATCAGTGATTAGGCTAATAGTTTCACTCATACAAATGACTTCACTATAACGTCCTGTAATTTGAGTAATAATCTCGCATGAAATATGACACCTACCACTCTTGAGAAATTTACTGAACTGCATATGTTTAGTAGTTGGAGGTAGAAGGTCAACTTGCTTCATTAGTTTGCACAAGAGAATTATTGAAATCAAATACCTGCCAGAGCATTAGTTGGGTGGAAAGAAATCAGTTAACAATATCTGCTGTGTAAAGGGTTTATAAAGAAGCACAAGCAGCACTTGTACGCATCAAACTTACTGAGAAAGAACATGAGCAATGGCAGCTCCGCTAACACCCAGATGGCACACAAAAATGAAAATGGGATCCAAAATAATGTTTGTAGTATCTCCTGCAACTGTTGGCCAAAAACATAGAAAGCAGTTAGTTAAACTGTTTGATGCGTTCAGATGATCATGTTGTATTAACTCCTCTTCGGTCCCTGATAGGTGAACAAAGTCGGAATTTCAAATTGATTTCATATATCCATTATTCTTGATAGAAGTGTTAGAAATATTCTGTCCCTTCTGTAGTTGTAAAAGATCTAGTATGCTAAATCAAATGGTCGTTAGATTTTGGACTTCCAGTGGGACACTATAATGAGTCCTTTGATTTAAACATCTTAAATGGAATATTTTCTTACTGCATCTAAATTAAAGAAGAAAGATTCATGTTGACTAATGAATAGTAGAAACATAGTGCAAAAAGCAAGGCAAGAGATTTGCATTACCAGTGGCATACAAAGGTGTTTTTGTGTCTTTAAAACCTCGAAAGACACCTTGCATTGCCAAAGAGAGTGCCACTGCTGGAGAACCAAGCGCTCTCAGTGTAAGATACTTCCGAGCTGGAGCCAGCATTGCAGATCCCTATTAAATATCAACGAGGAATTGAATGAGAAAACACTACTTAGGTCAAACGATAAGAGACTCCCTTCTAACTCAAAATGCATTTCTGATTGGAAGTCGGTTAGCTCAGTGCTCAGGAACACTTTCACTTTTCATGGTTGAGGAATAAGTAGATATCCCACATCAATTGAAATCAATAGACCAAGTACTGCACAGAAAATATCATTAACATGCACCAACAAGTATCAAAACTATAATTAGCCTAGCGAAGCGGCGTGGGAATGAAATGCATTACAGTTGAACACTATATCTGCCAGTGCACATCAAGTGGCAGGATGAAAGCTATTGTTCAGAACAAAAGGCTCTTATTTGTCTGAAGCTTCAAAACATTATTAGCTTTACATAATCAAAGATGAATGAACAATGGACCTGCCTCCTTAAGGATAATGTTTCTGTTGAATCAGTGAAATGAAAATAATATCATCATGTTCAAGCAAAAAGTTGAGTGTTAAACAGTGAGCTATTGCATAATTACCACCAGATAGATTCCCCCAGCAAAAAGCAATTCATACGGTTATCAGGATGGAGAAGGAAAGAAGACTCAAAGAAACAGGATAAACAGAAGAAGCAAAAAGCTATAAAATCTCATAACTCACAGCTTTCACACCCATGAACCCGAGCAAAGGTTTTGCCAGAAATATAAGTAGTAAGGTTTGAAGGAGGCCAAGCACAGCACCAATAGCCAGCGCAGTTGATGCTGAAGGGATTTGTCGCCTTTCACGTTTCACTTTGCTCTTAGCTGCAGAATTGCTCATTATGGCCGTCGTTTTGCAGGATTCTGATTTAGATCCACGAACTAATTGAGTAAGATTTTACAATATTATACCTTATCAAGTCAAGATAAACAAAGGCCATAAATATATTGTTTGCATTATCTAACTCTTGATTTAGAAGATATTCAGTTAGAATATGAGGTACATATGACATACCATACTCCTCTTCGAACTCCTTTGTTTTAACCTCAGGGATTGAAGCATCCAGATTTTTAACAGCAGTTTCTTCTGGTTCCATTTCTTCTGTTACATTGATTTTTACAGCACCTTTCTCCAAATCACCGCACTTTTCTGATTCACTGGCTATTCTTTTCACTGTGTCTTCCTCAGCAACAAAAGAGGTAGTAATATTAACTATCGGGAATATAGCTACCTTTGAGGCTTGATTAAATATAGCAATTGACACGCCAACAGCAGCTATTTCTACTGAACCTGTAAACACATAGGGACATCAGACATTCATCAAATATCCCCAAAAAAGAAATCATTAAATTTTGTTTTTCTTTGAATTCTGATCAATGGATGTCTTTCTATAAATAGAGGTTGGTGCTATCATGGTTACATCTCTAAGAATTCCGGCATGTCAAAGTGGAATAGAGAGCATTCGTCCATAAAGTAATCCCAGGTAAAAAGAGAACAACAAAAGAGGAAATTCCCAGAGCTAGTGCTGATAGTGCACTGAGAGAATGCTGTGACAGCAGCATGACATCCAATAGGAACCAAAAAGTTTTCTAATTCTTAGCTGCTTTATTATGAAATAGTATCTCGCTGACTTACTGTTTTAATACTCTAGTGATTGAGTTATCATAAACTATCATGGTCTAAATTAGCAAAGATTTGATTACAAGTGAACCCTGTAGACATAAAATTTGATTTGATATAGATATACAAAGATTACCCAAACCATTTTTTTTTTTAATTTCCATGGATGATCTAGATTCAGGACAACTGAAGTCCTTGTAATTTCTGAAACATACCTAGATGGCCAATGAATGCTGTATCGATCAGAGAGGCTATAGGATCAGCAGCTAATGCAAGAGCTGCTGGAAATGCTATGCGCAATATCTCCAAACCGAGATCATCCAATTTGAAAACGCTCCTGAAAACGTTTAGAGTTAAAAATCCATCATTTACAAAACAAACTATTTCTCTCTAATCCAATGATGGTTTTGGCATTTCAATGATGATGTAATACACGATTCTATATTCAATAAGAGTAATGATTTGAAAGGCAGCCTGAAGATATACCTAGCATCTTCAAAGAAGACAAAGAGCGGATATTTCCTCTTTCTCTCAGGACAAGCCAGAGCAGTATTTTCTGCCATAAAGATATCACGGATCTGGTGCTGAGTTGATATGAGGAAGACGAAAGTAGTCCCCGCAAAGAAGTGCCAATCAAAATTATTTGGCTACCTGAAAACATTGTATTTTTGTTTTAGATATGCAGTTAGATGCATGTTGCATTGGATGTAAGATCAAGTTATGTTCATGCATGCATGTTTTGTGGAAATCGATACTTGCTTACGGAAAGGAAAAGAAAAAAAGACAGAGAAAAAGCAGGCTGCATATCCTGGAGATAGTTAAAGAAGTGGAAGGAATGTGATATAAGCCAACATGCAACCTTAGTAATGAGCTGCAGAACTTGTGTGCTAACCTCAGAAATAGACGAAAGAAGACTGATGATAACTTTTAGAAACAGAATAAGGTATAGTAAGGTACAGATAACGACAGTAGCTGCATGAATTTATAGCTTACCCTTCACATTGAAAATAGTGAAACCTTCCTCGGTTGAGGAAGAAATGCGTGCAATAACGCATGTTTTTTAAGAACTAAACATGGCTTTACATAGGAGTACGTGTTAGTTAGTCGAAAAGGAAATCAGGGAACAGCAATGTGTGAATTCAGCGCTTGCAAAAATGGTGAAAACCTCAGATAAAACCTTCAGTCCTTAGTATTGCATTTGTTTATTGTTAATAAGCAGTTTGAGATATAACATCATTTAGGTTTAAGATTTTAGAGTATGATGAGTAAAGCAACACCATTCATGAAGTAATCTGCTAGATCATGCACTGTCATTTTTCACCAGCATGCAGTGATCAGCGGAAGATATATATACCACCTCATAACTATTTTCAAAAGATGATCTCCCACAAGGATGGAAAGGTACAGAGAAACACTAGTCGATGAAGGGCCGAAAATATTCCAAGTTTGCAAATCTATGTGCGTTAAGCACGGAAAAAAAAAAAGTTTCGTTAAGTCATATGATTAAGGACAATGCAATAAGCCTTCCTCAGGTATTGTGCTCCCTAATACCAACATTACCTTCGACAGAAGGCTGACTGTCAGTCCCGAAAATTTGACATTTTCTTTACAAACACTTTCCGCATCCAATCCAACCAATAATTCACGGAAAAAAGGCAGCAAATCACATAGGAATCTCCCCAGATGAAGCCCAAACAAATCAAAATGGTCCCGTTCAGAAATGACGGAAACGCCACAGAATCTCATTAAACAAATGCAGCATTCTAGAACAAAGGGGAATTGGGAGCATTCCAACAACTGAAAAAGACAAATGTAGATTCAAGAAAAAGCCCCATACATTTTGCCGTACTTATTCCACCACAATATCAGCAACAGGTCAAAAAGAGTGACGAAAGTAAGTCAAAAGTCTTTAAAGACGCATTGTTGCAAACACCTAGTCAGCATCACAAAAAAAGTACAATGCACAGAAAAAACAGAGAAATCCCGTACAAATTCTGCCCATCATCAATCAGGACCATAACAAAATTTTCAATTATATTTTAAAAGAAAAACCATTTTTTTTTTTTTTTGGGTTCTAACCTCTGCAGATGAACCTGAACGCGATCATGATTGTCTAGTTAAACCCCTGCATTCACGTCAAGACTGAAGACCAAGAAGACGAAAGCAGAACATGCAGGCCCTCGAGGTGTTTTTTTCCTCCAAGGAGCCCAAAAAAATCTAAAGTACCGGCCGAATCCCAGATCGCCACGAATGTAGTTTGGGTTTTTGTGCAGGTAAAACTTGGTTCTTGATAGTACACCCGACGACATTAACCATGTTGGTTTCTTAACTTATTCTAGTGTACTGGGAAGGATGAATTTAGACACAGGCCATAATCTCTATACAATTAATCAATTTCCATCAGTACTGTAGTAGCCAATTCTCTTCGTCTATAATTTGGATGATAAAAATTTATTACAGGGATTATTGAATCATCATCATCTCCAACTGCATTTCTCAAGCTCTGCATTCGTATAAATTTTGCATGTAGCATTTGGGAATGATGGTTTTGGTCTTACTACAATGTACCATTGGAACCTTGGAAATGTGAAATTTTTGGTAAGAGTAATGGGGGAAGTTTAACTAGTGTTAATGAAACCCGCCACCGACAAACAATGAATTTCTTACAAAAGACAACATTGTCAGGAGGGGAGATTCATGGGGATGACCAAAATGACATGGGAATTCTTTGTATAGTAGTACTTAGGTTTCTACTTAAATTTTTCCAACTTTTAGCACTCCCTCCCTCCGATCCTTATTATAAGACATTTTAATTTTGTCTTAAGTGAAACTTAAGATATGGTTTTGATTGAAAAAAAACCTTAAAAACCTATTTTCACGTTCTCTATGTTCTACTTTTTATTAGGAAATGTTTTTAAGGTTTTTATTTCATTTAGAAAAATATCCTACGTAAAACTTAGGACAAATCAAAATGACTTATAATAAGAACCAAAGAGAGAGTATTGACTGGTCTTTCCATGTGCATGGTTCTTTCATAATACTACTACTAGTGTAGAAACCATATGTGACACAATGTTAGAAAATTGATGTGTGTCGAATATACAGTTAATACAAATCAAATTGTTATACAGCACAGTATCACATACGTATCGTATACAAAGTATGATGTGACGTTTAGGTGTTACTTAAATTTAGTAGGTTTGATTTTTTTTTTTTCCCAGACAACTCTCGTAATTTCTATACAAATTTATTAAAATTTTCATTTGCGAGCTTCGGAGAAGTTGCTTTGATTTTTCTTAAACCCTAGAGTGTTGAGGTGAGTTATCCCTTCACCGGTTCAAATAATTAGTTAGGCATAGGTTTGAAATGCGTACCACTTTTGTTCGAGATCCCCAATTAATAGGGTTTGATACAAATTCAACAAAACTTGACTTGGGTTTGATTAAACCGTCGTTCCGGTTTCAAAATTATCACTCTCAACTCCAATGTTAGATGGGGGAACCCTAATAAAAATAATGATGAAGAATGTTATAGGTGTGTAGGTGGTTCCGATAGTAGTTATTTTTGTTTGTTAGTTTGTTTGTTTTTTTTTTTTTTTGGAAATAGGATTTGGTTCCGACTTCCGATTATGGTTTGCTTGCTTGCATAGATGATTTGTGAATCAAAGATGATGTAACCAAAATTTAAAATTAAATATATTAGAAATGCTTATGGAAATGAAGAAAAAAAAAAAGACTCTAGGTAGGTAAAATACAACGTGACAACGAAAGATCGAATTAGTGTCTTAGTCACATCAATCTCTATATGTGGTAAATATAAAATGGAGTTATAAACAATATTTTCTTTCTTTTTTTCCCAAGTCCATACGTTGTTTTTTCTATGGCTGCTGTATTTTTTTGTCTTCTTTTTTTTTTTTCCCTGTCAAAGAAATGCGAGTTTATTTGATTACATTTCAATTATAGCCTGAATATGTGGGCTGTAATTTTTTTTTTACAAATTATTAGGGGACTAGGAAATCTTAACTCTTAAGGCAGTAGTTCGTACGTAATTATATTAAAAGAATATTTGGAATGATTAATCATAACAATAATTTATGTTAGTTCATCAAGATAACAATTATATATTTAGACTGACGCCTACAGTATTGGAATTCTTTGGACAAATTGATCGGCCAATTAGAAAATGTAGTATAATATGATCATCATCATCATGTGTAACAGCTATATTCTATCCGCCTATATATATATTTGTGTGTGTAATTTTAAAGAGTGAATTGATGTACTTAAAACAAATATATGGTTTTTTATATTTTAGTCTCTCTGTGTTCCTTTTTTCGAGGTTATAAAGCTAGTTAGCTATAGGCAGTTGGTGTACATTCATCTTCAACTATATAGTAATCAAGTCTCGTGTTTCTTGAGGCCATTTGAAACAACAAAGAAAAAGATTTTTTTTTTTAAAAAAGAATATTGATGTGACAAATAAATATTCCAATTCATGAAAATTTGTGTACACGTATTGTTATCATGAGTCATGACCAACAACGATCAAGCACTAACGAAACGACTGAAAGAAAAAAACAACATATGAATGAATGACTTTGGTCGGAATTCATGAATAACGAGAAGCGGAAGATTGAAGAAAGAAAAATGGGACTCCAAGTGAGTCTAAATTTATTGTTTCTGCATAACATAACAACTGTTTTGAAACGAAGGAAGTATCAATCGAACTATTTAAGTTAAATAAGCAAGAAAATTAAGGATGAATTAATACTTTGATAGCTAAAATGAAAAGTATGCTTACTTTTTTGACAAAGAATGGAGCTTTTCAACCTTCAATATTTTTCATGCATGGCCTTGCAAACCAGCTTTTTACACAGACTTCAAATGACAGCAGTTCTCAATTCCCTGCAGAAAAGAAGAACAACCAAATATATATACTTAAGAGAAAAATTTGGATGGGAGCTATCCCCCCCAAAAAAAGGAAAAAAAATCTGGGAATTTCTGACGTATATTTATGGAGATTATGAAGCAAAGGGAAACAATGCTGTTAAGAAACGACATAAATAGGAGGTTTAGAGAGATGATCGAACAGGCAATCTAAAACTAAAACATGCACTAACGGGCACGGAACATAAACGACTCATTGTTTGAATACACTCTCGTCGTCCCAGTTTATTCCGTTATACTAATTTAATTCAATAAAATACACTATTAAAATGAGACGGAAATAGTAATTCGTTTTACATTTTCTCTATTTGTTTTATCTTTCAGAAGGGTTTAAAAAGAAATGTTGTGGAATATTTCCAGAACAGAATAATTTAGAGAAAATGACATTAAGGAATTTATAGAGAAAAATGTCCCAAAATAATGGATATTTAGAGTGAAAATATAATACACTCGATAGATAGGGAAATGATGAGTCTTACCAAATTGCCTTTGCAAATATTGCGCAAAAAAAAGGGAAAGAGACCCAATTACTTTGCTCCCCTCCACCAACTCCTCTCCTTTTCAGCCACCTTGATGCCTCAAAAGAACACTCCCACACCTTGACTATTTATATAGGT